AAAAAAGACGGCTGTAGTGATAGATGTAGCAATCCCAAGCGATAGCAACATCAGGAAGAAGGAACACAAGAAGCTTGAGAAATACCAAGGGCTGAAACACGAGCTAGAAAAGATGTGTGTGTGAAGGCACAAGTGGTCTCCGTGGTAATAGGAACATTGGGGGCTGTGACCCCCAAACTGGGAGAGTGGCTCCAACAGATCCCAGGAACAACATCTGAGATCTCTGTCCAGAAGAGTGCAGTCCTAGGAACAGCTAAGATACTGTGCAGGACCCTCAAGCTCCCAGGCCTGTGGTAGAGGGCCCGAGCTTGAAGGAAGGAATATAAAGATCGTTCCAAAGTGGGGGCGAGTGGGGAATTTTTTTTTAAATATTCTTGTATTATTATCATAATGTAACAACTTTCAGTTACATTAAAAGACTAAAGACTGCAGAAATACTGAAACACATACAGAAAAAGGATATTACAAATGTGTGTATTTGATGTAATACATCAATTGTAGTCAGAGGGAATCGTTCTTATCAGCTGACAGCTGACTGTGAAGGAGGGGAAGGTCAGCTTGTGTTTGTGATGCCTGACTTCAGTTCAAGCCTTTCAGAGTGGAGAATTTTATATTTTAGCATAAACACCAGAAATATTTACCTGTTTCAGCTTGAAAAGTATGAGTCAAAGAAAACATACAAATCCTCATGTTAGAGACGATGTTGTTTCAACTTTATAAATTAGTTAAATTTGCTGATCGCCAGTACTTTTCTGTCTAATTGTGTAACTGTGTGTGTGTGTGTGCACGCAGTCGTCGGTGCAGCGCTCAGATATGATCAGCCTGAAGTCTCGGATGTCGAATTACGGCCTGCAGCGTTACCAGTGGCTCACACACACCTGGAACAGCTTCCAGACAGAGGTAACACCATGACAGGTCACCACAAGTGCGTCGCCCCCTGCCCGCTGGTTGCAGTTTAGGTCATAAGCCCCACATGAGCCAAACTAACAATTCAAAAGTACAAATCAGATACATTTTCCCAAAGGTGATTTCTGTCATTTTAGTACACTGTTGTAACCCTGCTTTGTGTACAAGTGGTCACATCCTGCGGTCATGTAACCTGTGGCTCACAAATGTGTGTGTATGTGTGTGTGTTTACCTGTGGGCAGTTTAAATGCTGTGGTGTGATCTACTTCACTGATTGGTTGGAGATGACAGAGATGGAGTGGCCACCTGACTCCTGCTGCTTCAATCAGTATCCAGGCTGCGCCCGTCATGCCCACTACCATGACCTCAGCGACCTGCACCAGGACGTAGGCTACTGCAGGGACTGTGCATGACACCTTTATGATCCTAAACAGTAGAAACAGTATGCACAAGGAGTCGGCAGCACTGCGATGGCTGAACAGCACAGATTTATTCCATAGTGGAAGCATGATCAAGGGTTTGTGTGAAGTAAATGTTGTAGCTTGTACAGCAAAGTAAGAAAGACCTGAGGGCTGCTGTTTGCCCCTGATGTTAAACTTGATTCTTCTTTGTATATAAACATGTCTCTTCCTGTCTTTCAGGGCTGTGGTCCAAAGATCTACAGTTTTATTCGTGGGACAAAGCAGCTGCAGGTGCTGCGTTTCCTTGGTGTGTCCATCGGTGTGGCTCAGATCCTGGCCATGGCGCTCACCCTCATGCTGCTATGGGCACTGTATTATGGACGCAAGTCTTCAGAGCTGGACTCCACAACACTGGAAATGGCACTGGATGACTCCACCCTCCTCACAATGACACATGGACCTCCGTCTGAAGCTACAAAACTGGGCTGCAACCACACAAATAAAGGCTGTCCTAACACCACAGCAAATGACCACCAGTTTGAGATGGAGCATCTGTCCTAGTAGATGGAGCAGCCCAAAGACACTGAGGGAAAGTAGAGACTAATTCAGTATTAACAACATTTCACTCACCAAATTAATATCTGAAATCTGTGAAGAGGGAGATGCTAAAGCAAAACACGAGCCGTTGATCAGTTTGGAGGCCTGCCCTGACTCACTGTACAGTACAGCATTTGTGCTCCAACTGTGAGTTAGGTGTTATTACAGACATTTCAGGTCTGTTCAGTTTTACCTCCAAATAAAATGGTTAAAATAAAAATAATAAAGTTATACAGCAACTTTCACAATACAGGACTACAATGTGCATTGGTATTAACTCATGTCTTCTTTTTGTGAGCAACACTAAAATTCGAGGATATTCAATGTAAGATTTGATAATAATACATAAAAATATTTGAGAGAATGACTTCTGTTCCCCAGGGTACACTGTTGTAACCCTGCTTTGTGTACAAGTGGTCACATCCTGCGGTCATGTAACCTGTGGCTCACAAATGTGTGTGTATGTGTGTGTGTTTACCTGTGGGCAGTTTAAATGCTGTGGTGTGATCTACTTCACTGATTGGTTGGAGATGACAGAGATGGAGTGGCCACCTGACTCCTGCTGCTTCAATCAGTATCCAGGCTGCGCCCGTCATGCCCACTACCATGACCTCAGCGACCTGCACCAGGACGTAGGCTACTGCAGGGACTGTGCATGACACCTTTATGATCCTAAACAGTAGAAACAGTATGCACAAGGAGTCGGCAGCACTGCGATGGCTGAACAGCACAGATTTATTCCATAGTGGAAGCATGATCAAGGGTTTGTGTGAAGTAAATGTTGTAGCTTGTACAGCAAAGTAAGAAAGACCTGAGGGCTGCTGTTTGCCCCTGATGTTAAACTTGATTCTTCTTTGTATATAAACATGTCTCTTCCTGTCTTTCAGGGCTGTGGTCCAAAGATCTACAGTTTTATTCGTGGGACAAAGCAGCTGCAGGTGCTGCGTTTCCTTGGTGTGTCCATCGGTGTGGCTCAGATCCTGGCCATGGCGCTCACCCTCATGCTGCTATGGGCACTGTATTATGGACGCAAGTCTTCAGAGCTGGACTCCACAACACTGGAAATGGCACTGGATGACTCCACCCTCCTCACAATGACACATGGACCTCCGTCTGAAGCTACAAAACTGGGCTGCAACCACACAAATAAAGGCTGTCCTAACACCACAGCAAATGACCACCAGTTTGAGATGGAGCATCTGTCCTAGTAGATGGAGCAGCCCAAAGACACTGAGGGAAAGTAGAGACTAATTCAGTATTAACAACATTTCACTCACCAAATTAATATCTGAAATCTGTGAAGAGGGAGATGCTAAAGCAAAACACGAGCCGTTGATCAGTTTGGAGGCCTGCCCTGACTCACTGTACAGTACAGCATTTGTGCTCCAACTGTGAGTTAGGTGTTATTACAGACATTTCAGGTCTGTTCAGTTTTACCTCCAAATAAAATGGTTAAAATAAAAATAATAAAGTTATACAGCAACTTTCACAATACAGGACTACAATGTGCATTGGTATTAACTCATGTCTTCTTTTTGTGAGCAACACTAAAATTCGAGGATATTCAATGTAAGATTTGATAATAATACATAAAAATATTTGAGAGAATGACTTCTGTTCCCCAGGGCACCCTAACAGGTTAATCTGGCCATGAGCACAATCACTATCAGGAAAATTAATACATACAAATGAAGCAAATACAAATGTTACATGCCCCAAGTGCCAGGGCTGCGTAGCAGTGAATTAGTGCAGCCTGGAAAACACAATGTGACATATGAACAGAACTCTCACGGTGCGCTGGCATTCGCATCCAGACTGCATCTGCGTTTATTCAAACATTAACATTCAAACATTGTAACAGTATATGAATAAAGTGCATTTTTATCCCATATTTCCATAACTCAAGTTCTCAATACAATCACTTTAACACCTGAGTGACATATCTGAGCACCACTATGGTGGTGAATAAACAGTTGCTCCACTGTACCATGCATAACTGTAATTAGTTAACAAATAACTAATGGACTGCACACTAAAAATACCACACTTATCTTTGAACAAAAATACATTTACATTACTTCAAACTGAATATATAACTATTTCTCATACATTTACATTGACCTCGGTTTAAACATTCTTACTCCACTTAACTCCTAATAACAATATACAATGCATATGAGTGACAATAAAACTGAAGATCCATAAAACCGGAGTTTGAAGATCTCGCGATATTAAATCACGCGAGACTTCCTACCCGCGAGAAACCTCCGCTTTACTTTGAGCCTTGACTGACTAAACCATTACCGACGAGCATGTAAATATACACCGAACAGTATGCTATACTAACAAATTATTAAATACTAACATCATACTGCTTTGTATGTGTAGTTTCACCGTCTACTGACCTGGAAAACACAATGTGACATCAGAACAGAACTCTCACGGTGCGCTGACATTCGCATCCAGACTGCATCTGGGGGCGGGGACGGAAGGTCCCTCCCCAAATCCATTTTGGGTGCAACACCAAGCGCACAAAGGTTCCGCTTTACCCTTTTCTGTTCTCCAACCACCAAATCCAGGACAGCAGGCACAAAACATCATAATGTTCTAAAAATATAAATGTGGCACCCAAAATAAACGTACATTCAATTGCCAATTATGAAAAAATAAATTAACTGAAAACAATGTGGTGACATATCTTTAGGTGCACCACACAAACAATTAAATATGATAAAGTGAAATAAACAAATGAAGCAGATAATTTTAATTAACAAATAACAGCTCTCAGTATAACACAGTCCACCCAAATAGCAGCTGCAGCAAAAGCCTCCACATTGGCCACTATGGTGAACCAGCACCTGAAACAGTTTGAACTCAAACTGGACATTATCACCTTCACGAAGGAGGATTTACTGCACGACAGTTGGATTATACTGACTCAGTTTGACACAGGTGTTCCTAGTAAACGGACAACATGTCTCACGCTCCTGCCCCTCTTGCTTCCTGTCATGCTTTTATTTTCACATTACTTCCTGTTTTGTTTCACCTCAGTTTTGGCCCTTTTATTTAATCATCATTAGTTCACCTGCTCCTTATTGTTTGCACCTGTTTTTTACTTCTATTTAGGCAGCGTCCTCCCACCAGGACGCTGCCAGATTGTTCTAGACCCCAGCTCTGACTCTCCAGCATTTATACCTTGCCTGACTCTCTGTTTCTGACCTTGGATTACCGTTTTTTGACCACCGTGTTTTGTCTATGCCCTCCCAGATTCTGTTCGCCTGCAGTGTACCGACCTTCTGATTTTGTCCCCCTTGACCTCGAGTTTGGATCCCCTAGCTATACCTGTTTACCGGCGCCGACCCCGGACTGTCTTATCGACCTGATTGATATCCTGGACTTTGTGTTAGTTGTTTTGCTTACAACAAGTAACAAACTTGTCGCTACCTGGGTTTGTCTGGTTTTCTACGTGAGTTCACCACAACCTCTGTTTGGCATCTGTACACGCCAAACCTGACAGCACAATCTGGCCAGTATGAACTCAGCCAGTGACCAGGACCAAGACTGGCGGGCTCACATGGAACAGGCTCTGTCCCACCAGGGAGCCGCTCTGGGGCAGATCTGAACCGAACTGCTCCGCTTGAACTCTGTGGAGACCAGCAGCACCGCTACCGGGGGTTCTGCTCATTCTGAACCAGCGGTACATGAACCCAAGATATCTCCACCAGAGCGCTATGGAGGGGAAGTGGGCGAGAGTCGGGCTTTTCTCACGAGATGCAGCCGTCAGCGTTTCCCACCGAGCAAGCTAAAGTGGCCTATGTGTTATCGCTACTGTCTGGTAGAGCCAGGAGATGGGGAACGGCAGAATGGACGGCAAGGTCTGCTTGCTGTTCCACCTTTGCTGATTTCGGTACTGAATTAGCCTGGGTTTTCGATCCTTCCTGCCACGACGCTGCCGTTTCTCCTTCACTGATGACGTTATCTCAGGGGTCCGGGACAGCAGTGGATTACATCATAGCCTTCCGCACTACGGCTGCAGCGAGTGACTAGAACGAATCGGCTCTTGACGATGCTTTTTACCACGGACTGTCTGACTGGGTCAAGGACGCTTTGACGGCCTACGATCAGCCACGGAGATTAAGTCCGCTCATGTACCTGGTCACACGACTTGATGGGAGACAACGAGAGCACCAGTCTGAACGCCACCGGGGATCATCGCACGCCAATGCCGGCTTCTCCTCAGAGCTTCCGGAGCCTATGCAGCTGGGGGGGTCCCGGCTAACCAAGGAGGAACGGGAGCGCCGGTTCAGACTGAACTTATGTTTGTATTGTGGGGGCACAGGGCATCTAGCCAGGTCATGCCCGGTAAAAGGACAAGGCTCAGCGCGAGGAGGAGGGCGCCGCTGAGCCGAACGATGACAGGTACTGTCCCTCCTCACCCAAATGTGTCAGCGCTGTTGTCGATGGAGACCCGTGACATCTCCATTTCTGTGTTTATTGACTCAGGGTCCGATGCATGTTTTATGGATCCTGCCTTTATACACGAGCATAACATACCCACCTGTCCGGTTGCACCGGCTCTCTTAGTACACTCACTCAATGACAAATTGTTGCACCGGGTTACTGCCCAGTCAGTACCGCTCACTTTGACCATTGAGAACCATGTCAAGCAAATGCAGTTTCTTGTTATGCGATCGCCACATCACCTCGTTGTTCTCGGGTACCCTTGGTTGGTGCAGCACGGGGG